GCAAGTCTGGGACAGATAATAATGGACAAAAGAAAACTGGGGGAACAAATAAGGATTGGAGCCTAAAATAAGAAATGTCTCTCTCTCAGTCAAATGAGCAGTTTGGGCGGCGAGATCAGTCGTACATATCGAATCTTTACCTCTGTACTTACCGTCTGAGTCCCGAAGGAAGCCGTATCGTTGGTGGAGTCGCCGTGGGTCGAAGTGGTGACGTTCGGTCAGAAACTAGCTATAACTGAAGAAGACCTAGAGAAGACGCTGAAGTACATCAACTTCACGCCCATTACTATATTGTGTTCAATAAAGATTGTTACTCCTTTGAAATGATCTCCGCCTCTGTCGTCTTTCTGTCGCGCACCTGTGGCGTCGGCTCCTCACGGTGGTGTCTGGTCAGAAGGCGACTGGTCATCCGAGTCCGCCCCGGCCTGCACCGGTCACACTTTTACTTACACTTGAGTAACATTTAGCAAGGGGCATCTGTACTTTTACTCTGTCCGCCTCTGCTTTTAAAGACAAGTTTACAAAAGAAGAAACTGTTTCAATCTAAAACACACATGTATGTACTTAATTTCACTTAAACACTATCAAACCCCTATTTTCAAAATTAGAAAACGTTATATTCCCTGTACAAAAGATCGAACTCACCATTCCAGAAAATACAGCAAGAGTTGGATATTGTCCGCAGGATAAAGCTACAGCTCTGGGATGATCAAATTGGACTGATTTGCTACGGAAAATGCGACCAGTTCACCTCTTTGACCACAAGGGAATTCGATGGAGAACTGTTTATTACAACAACGAAAGAAACCGAAATCCAAGAAATCCCATCATGGCCTGGGCTGGGTGACATAAACAGAGCAACCGGTAACAGCTGTGTCCGGCGTCATTAACCGGCCGAGGTCGCTGTGTCCCGCAACTGAGGGAATTGGACATTTTGAGTTTTTCCCAAAAACAAATTTCACCGTTGCCAAAAATGCAACATGCTGCAAAAAAACGTCCATGTCCAAAGCCACTGCCACAGCACACATCACTCTTTTCTAAACTTGTAGAGGATGGACAGGACGTGGAGGAGGACTTCCTTATTAAAAGTGAACATTCAAAACGACAATGTCGTTGCAGTGGAAATTGTCGCTGAAAGTGATCTCGTGCTGATTTTTTATTACACATTACAGGCTACACATATTTACTAGACTTCAGATACAATATTTAAAGCATAGCTACAATGAGCTACACATAGGCTTACACCTTAAGAAAAATAATATTTAAAAATACCATAGTCATTTAAAATAATTTTTGCATATTTGACAAATATATTTACTGATATTGCATTAACATTTCATTGTGGTATTCATAGTGAATTAAACCTTTACAAAAAAAAAAGACTTCTTCCTCAACGCTATCATAATGTTATCAAAGACATCTTGGAGTCAACACGTCAAAGAATTATACGCCTTAATAATTACTTTTCCTCTCAGACAATCCAGACATTTTAGACTATTTCATATAATTAATCTAATAAATATTTAGTAGCCTACATATATTTTCACTTCTGACATTTGAATATAGAGAGACTGCAACACCTGAAATGTTTGTCAGATTAGAGAGACGTCCAAAATGTGTCCAGCTGGAGAACCTGATCTAGAGTTTCATGACTGAACTCCATATTTATTAGAAATGTTTACATTATTACACAAATACTGTCACAACGGCTGATTCTTGAGTTGTGATCATGGTTTCTAAATCATTTTTATTATACTTTATATATATGAAGTATTATAACCTTCTTTAGATGTAAATGTGCAGCAGAAGTGAAAGTGTTCCAGTCCAGATGATGTGACCAATCAGAGAGTGAGACTGAAAGCCCATTTGCATTGTCAGGGTGGAGTGATTGTGATCTCTCAGAATAGAGCAGCTCTGTCTCCAGAGACCATGTTCAAACCCCAAGAGCTTTATTTGACATTTACTGCCACATCAACCTTCTGAAAAGCTCCTGCATCTTCATCTGTTAGTTGAATGATGTTGTCAGACACAAAGTGAACTTGTTGAGAAGCTTTATTGAATGTTGCAGCAAACACACACACACACACACACACACACACACACACACTGTTTGAGTATTGAGTTGTAAAGCACTCCAGCTGCAGCACTAGACTCATGTGAATCCTGCCTGACACAGGACATTCAGATACGGCTCATCTTCAGGAGAGAAACATCAGCACTCAGAGCTCTTGTGGAACGAGACCTCATGAGGAGCTCCATCATGTGTTACTCTGCAGACATACAGCTCTCCCTCTTCCCAGCGTGCTTTGCTGAGGGTCAGGACGCTACTGCGGCTGTAGCGGCCGTCCTGCTGGCTCTCTGCGCTGGTCAGAACCCCCTCGGTGACCTCTGACCCGTCCAGTGTCCAGCTCACCAGCGCCCCCTGTGGAGAGTAAGAGCTGAGCAGGCAGAGCAGTGCGGCTGAGTCTCCAGAGATCTGCAGAGAAGAGGGCGGCAGCAGAGACACTGAGGGCTTCACTGTGGGACCAGCTGCAGGAGACACACACACACACACACACACACACACACACACCTCATCAATCAAACTAAACATCGTAATACACAGACTGCTTTAATTCAGTTTATTTGCATATCCCAAAAGTTAGTTTGTCCTCAAGTGAGATATTCAACAAATAAAAAACTCAATGTAAAAGTTTGACTCAAGCTCACATAAAAAGAAATGTATATAACTTATAAGAACTAGAAAACAACGTCTGTGTTTGTATTATAAAGCACTGAATTATAAGCACAACATGAGCAAAAGAGATTCAGTATCATTGACTGAACTACAGAAAGGAGCAACATTTACATTCTGATGTCAAATCTCTTTTTACATGTATGATTTCTACAATAAAAGATGAACTAAATATGAACTCAGTGTAGAAATAAATGAAGGAGAAACAAACCTGTAATAAACTGAATAAACTCATAGTGAGACACAGTATAGAGATATGCTTAGAATTGTTTGGTGAAAGGAATAATGCTAATCTTATAATAATATCATTGTTTTAGATTAAATATTTATACAAAAATATCAGTAACACTTTAATTAAAGCCTTTATACATATTGCATTATAAATGTATTTTTAATGCATTAATTATATATTGTTTTACTCATTATAATGCATGTATGATCTCATCAATAATTGTAACCAAGGCTTTAACACATTATAATATTATCTATTCATTTTCACACTCATGACAAACAACCAATTTCAGATGTAACAAGATATTTTAAGTATTATAATACATTTTAAATGTGGTTGCAATTATTTAAGAAAATATATACTGCATTATAACATACATTATGAACACCTTTATAATGTATTGTACATTAAGGCTTGAAGTAAAGTTTTACCACAACATCTAATCATCAAAATAACCATTTATTATTAATAAATGTTGTTCTTGTTTCAACTGTAAAACACTTTTTGAAATCTAAATTGTATTTATTTTTTGAAATATGTAATTAAAAAGACTTACATCTGATCACCAGTTTAGTTCCTCCACCGAATGTGTACCACAGTGATCCAATCTAATGAAACACTCGTACAAAAACCTCTATTCCACTCGAGTGAACACACACTCCAGCAGAGAGAGAGAAACAACACTTCAACACACTGATATTAGAAGATCCTCAGCTCTTCTCAACACTCACTCATTCAGATTTGACTAAATGCTTTCTGATATAACACTGTTTAAAGAAATATATGTGATGAGCTGTGACCTCTGAGGTGACCTTTGACCTCTTTGATCATGGATGATGATGTTGTGTTTGAGTTTCTCATAATGATGCTTCTGTTCTTCATATGCAGATCAATCATCATGATTGACAGAAAAACCTGCAGCTTCACACTTCAATCTTCAGTGAGAATCTGTTCAAATAATGACTTTATTGAATATTAGAGCCAAAGTCAATAGAAAGTGTGACAATGAAGATCTCAAAGTTGTGTTTTGCATGTTTTCATATTCAAGGTGTGTTATAAAAGTATCTGGACTGGTTCTGAATCTCATGAAACGTGAACAAGCTCTAATATGTGTCCATCTTTAACAGCCTGTTTCTTCTCCATCTGATGATTTCAGACACACATGAGGCTTCATGATAGATGGAGTGACACCATGAACTCTGATTAGAGATTCACAATCAGTCCTGATACTTTCTGAACACACTCATGATTCATGATCTTACTTTAGTGATGGCGCTTCATCTAGTGGAAGTGTAGCAGTGATGATGGTCACATGACTGAATATGGACACAGAGATGGACGTTCATCTGCACATCCTCAGTGTCTCAGGAGTCACAATAAACACACTAAATAAAGTCATGATTGTGTAACTCTAGTGTATATGAGTGTGTTGTCAGCACAAGCTGTTGTAAATCCTGCCCACTTCTTTGCATTGTCAGCACATGCTTCAGTGCTCTGAGAGTGTTTATAGTGCTGTGAGTTTAACACTTCATGACTGAGAGCAGAACACACACACTCTTCATCATCACACAAGACTAAACTACAACTATGAACAACATCTGCATCTTCATCTGGACCATTGCACTGTTTATTCAAGGTAAAACATTTAAAGAAATGTTCGCAATAAATGATTATAATATTATTAACAATGCTGCTTTTTCTCACAGGTTTCAGTGGACAGGTGACTGTGACTCAGACTCCTTCTGTAAAAACGGTTGCAATTGGCGAATCAGTCTCGATAAACTGCAAAACAAACACAGTAGTGTATAATGGCTGTCCAGGTTCATATACTTGTATGCACTGGTATCAGCAGAAACCTGGAGAAGCTCCTAAACTCCTGATATATTATGCATCAAGACTTAATACTGGAACTCCATCTAGATTCAGTGGCAGTGGATCTGGCAGTGATTTTACTCTGAGCATCAGTGGAGTCCAGACTGAAGATACAGGAGATTATTACTGTCAGAGTTATCACAGTGGTGGTGTGTTCACACAGTGATAAAGAGTCGTACAAAAACCTCTGTCAGTCAGACGTCACAGTGACTGCACTGATACAGCTGAGAGAAACTGCAGCTGCTGATGGAGGATCACACACTACACAATATCAATGTCTAGCAAACTTTGTAAAGACTTTAAAGGTAAATGTAAAATATACGATTTTCTCTATGCTAAAATTGTCACGGTTCATGGATCCGTGTGTTCATTTTGTGTATCTTGTGTGTTTGTAGGTGTTGGGTCTGTCTGTCTGTCTGTGTGTGTGAGAGAGAGAGAGAGAGAGAGAGAGAGAGAGAGAGAGAGAGAGAGAGAGAGAGAGAGAGAGAGAGAGAGAGAGAGAGAGAGACTATTTATTGAAAGTGTTTGTTGACTTTTTTGGACTTCTTTATCTGGCGTTGGCTCCCATTTGAAACAGTTCGGCTCAAGTCCAGCAAATTCAGGGTCATGATTGAGACAAGCTGTTTTGTTGTTGAGGTTTTGTTCAAACCAACCATCGAATATACCCTCTCAGCATCAGCATTAGGATGCAGAAGCACTAAAACCAAGACTGCGATCTTTGATAGCCTCCCAAATGGGTTCAAGCATCGTCTCCTCCTCAGGAGTCACTCAGGACCTTTTCTGAACAGAACAAGAGATCCAGCAAAATTCAGATCAATTTGAGCCAATATCCCTCTTGCTTCGACAGCTCTTTGTGTATGGTTCTCAGGTGCGATCTCTTCAAGCATCTGTACTATTGCAGGCAACCTGTCCATAACATTGCAACATGCTATGTGCCTACAGGCCCAACGTGTGTCACTTGCTGCTGGAGTTCCCTTGTGCACCATCAAACATCTCCCGCTGCACTTCCAGCCATTTGTTATGTCCATAAGACCCAGACATGAATACATGCAGTCGTTCCAATAATGAGCAGAAGTTTCCTGCATCTGCCATACTTTTTACAGCGTCTACTATAACTAAGTTCAAGCAGTGTGCACTACTGTGGCATGTTTGGCTTCTTCTTTAATTTCAGCTTGAACACCTGCATGTCCCCGCACATCACTGCTACGCCATCGTAGCCCTGGCCTACAAGGTTTTTCTTGTGCTCCAGCCCATGGTACTCAAGGAAGAAGATAATCTCGTCACTTCAGGCGGCAGCATCCTGGTGTTCTGCCCCTTCAAACTCTAGAAAGCTTCCATGAACCACACTGTTGTGGAAAACATTTTAATATAGTATTGATTTTCAGCCTCCTGCTTCTTCTTTTGCTCATCCATTAGTCCAAACATTGAAGTATTTTTATCCATAGTTTTCTTGTTTTCTGTCCATACGAACATTGCCTTTACATGGCCTTCAGATCTGGCCTGAGAACAGAAACCACTGTCTTTCATTGTAGGCTTTTTCCAGTTACGATAACCCTCGAATGAGGTGAAAACTGTCCTTGGAGCATCGGGGAGGGAAAAATGGCCACCAGCAAAACAGTAACGCCATCTTTCGAGTGCGAGTAATCTAACCAGAGATGAGATTTGAACCAGTCGCTTCTGCTGGAGGGTCTTAGGGAAACTGTTGCCCATTCGCTGCACTGGCACCTCACGCCCGGACTTAGATACGTCTAGAAGAAGGAGGAAAGGTTCACATCTAAACTAATTAAACAATATTACTAGTAAAAACATAATCAATTAGGAACTGTCATTGATTAGTTTTAACCAGAGGTGTCAAGTAACGAAGTACAAAAACATTGTTACTAGGGATGCAAATTATCGATTAATTCATTAACCTTATCGATCGATTAACGATTAACTGATAAGCGGCTATTTTCCTGAGATTGTACATTTCTCACTGTATCAATAGTGTCTTAACATAAAAAGCGAAATATTGCTGTTACGTTCCCCAGCCCGCTGTGTGTTTCTACACATCTGAGTTTCTCTTGCTCTTAATTATAGTTGAGCTACACCTGAGCAGCAGCCGCATACTCGAGCTACAATCGCTTTCCGGACCCACACCTGAGGGCACACAGAGCCTGAGAACGAGAGCCTGAGTCGATGCACTGCCGTGCTGTCTGTCGTAGGAGCTTTTGCAGTCCACCCCGGGAATCAGAAGCGCTCCGCCTTTGTAACTAATCTGTCTGTGTTTCGTGAAGCTATCCGGTACTTGTTGACCGACCTACTAAATAAACATACCCCTATTTTTGACACGAGCTGGCCTGTGTGCGTCTCTTCTCTATGTTCAGGGTGGTGTCCGTCCGACCGTAACATATTGGAACGTAACAATTGCTTATATACTGAATAAAAATGCATGTTATATTGCTCAAATGATGTTTTATTGTAACAGTTGGGATATGGTACAGAATGGCATTTATGTAGTTTAACAAAATAAAGTATGCATAGAAAATTTAAATGCATAAAAAAATATTCGTGCACTGGCTCACATCTTGCAAACATTTAGCAAGATAAAATAAATGTTAATAAAAATCCATATGGGTAGGCTTAGCCTTAATATATTAAGTCTATATATAATAATCTGTCCGGTAAACTACTTGTATAAAAAAAAATGTAAACATTAGCAGCAGCTCTTATAATCCCCCTTGGTGTGAGAAAGGTCACAGTAAGATTACCAGATCTGGAAATGTCAAATATAAAACTGAAGGGATGTCCATTTTCACAAATTCCCATGATTGATCGTCATTTAAATTAACAATCAATTATGCGTCTGCTGCAGTGGGTGGCGTACGGCCAAAAGCTGGACAGGGTCTCTGCTACTGCTCAAAACGCTGTGTTCCTCACCAAATTAAGAGAATGGTTTTTAATCTAAATAAAGGGCTAGTAGGATTGTAAAATATTTAAATATTATAGATAATTAAATTAAATTAATGATTTAATAATCAAATATAACGACTCATAGAACGTGTCACCAACGCCGCCTCAGATGCGTGCTTGTCAGAATGTGTTGTGGACGCGCACTGAAAACAGCAACCAAACACAATGAATTCAAAACCATTTAATAAAATAGTGTTCTGATGTTATCTAAGATGACAGTCACAAATTAATCATTGTTATTATTAGTAGTGCATTTCTGCTTGAGCAGCGCGGGCTGAATGAATAACCGATGAGCACTTTCGTTATTTAAATCAAAGAAACACAACCGATATGAGATTAGTCAGATATATACAAAATAAACATAAATTAAAAAAAAATATATTCACAAAATGACGTGAATGCACAAGTGAACTTGAACCACGTTATGTGTTATTCAGAATGACTGAATGTTGTGCACGCGCTCTTTCTGGAATAACGTGACAGGGCAACTAAACCCAAATTATTCACCACGTTTTATTACAATATTGTTCTCTTTATAATGTTATGTAATATGACACTCCCAACAGTAATTATTAGTCGTGCATTGCCGTTTTAGCCAAAGATCACGCTTCAATTCTTCACAAAATTCATCCAATATGTGTCACGACACACAGGGGACAGAAGATCCAATCTGCAGATGTTTATTATAAAGGGCAATCCAAAATCATAGTCTTCCAGTCAAAATCCAAATAATCAAACCAAACATGAAAACTAAACACAAACCAACTAGGAAACAGACCAAAGAAGTGGTGCCATCGAACAACGAATCCGTACACATACTAACACAGACAGGGAATAAATACACAGATCTAACAAGACTAACAATGAACAGCTGGGAACAATGATGACGGGAAACAGCTGAGTGCAATGAACTGATGAGTGACAGTGACAGACAGAATGCTGGGAAATGAAGTCAATAGTGAAGGACACCTTAAACACGAAGACCTCTAGTGACAAACAAGGGAACACAACCAGACACTGTGACAATATGAGATAAATCAGATATAGAAAGGCATAACGTTACACATAATAAACTATTACAACTTACATTTGCATAAAACAAAAGGTTGCGAATACACACGCAAACGTAGTCCTGATGAAGTCCCAAACATAACTCCGGCGCGCTCGCTTACATGTTTCGCGGTTGAGCAGCAGGCACACGCATAGACCTGGTTAATCGATGATAGATAAGTTTGATCGATTAATGTTTTATCGACAATTAACCGATAATCGATTAATCGTTGACATCCCTAATTGTTAACTTACTTAAGTAGACATTTTGGGTATCTATACTTTACTGGAGTAATTCTTTTTCAGCCGACTCCTTACATTTCCACTCGATTATCTGTTCTTTCTACTCCATACATTTTAAAAATAGTCGAGTTACTCCTATTTAATTTCGGCTTGTTTTCATTCCGGCTTGTCATCCTTAAATTATAAAAATAAATAAAAAAATAAAAAATCTGAGCAAAAACATGCAATTATTAATTTGAGCAATAGATCTAAAATACATTCTACACAAAATATAAAAACTCATCTCCCATCTCATCACACTTTCACTCTGACAACTTTCCCTAATTATTAAACCTCTACATGCATTCGGTTTGCTCTACCATTTATTAGTAGTGATTTACAGTTTGTTTACTATACTATATACCTGAGCATTCAGTATTGTGCAATATAGCATTCAGAAGGTGATGGACATTTTGGGGGAAAGAAGTGCTGCATTTTATCATTTAAACGCGACTTTTCATGAACATCCTATAATCCAACCCACTGCGCAATGTGACGTTAGAGTGACGTCTTTTCTATGTCATTTTTGGACGTCCAATTTCGGTCCACTGAAGGGGTGTTTTGTAACGCCAGTCGACATCTTTATTCAACGTCTTTTGCACGTCTAATATTGACGTCGGTGGGTCCAAATGTGGTCGTTTGTGGACGTCTTTTCAACATCAAATTTAGTATCTTCTAAAACTTCTAGAACTGTAGTCCCATGTTTCAAAAAGGTAGAGGACATTTTTAAGGAATGTTATCTGTACCAAGTATATATATTTATGCATTTGGCAGATGCTTTTATCCACAGTGACTTTACACAGATTATCTGTCTCATATTCTACTGTCAGGACATAATGACAGTTTTATCAAATATGTAAAAAACTAAATTCCTAAGTTACCTACAGCAGCTTTAAATAGGAGCCTGGTCTTGTTAGTCCGAAAAAGCTGCCCGGAGGCGTTGCCAAGACGGCGGCTGAGTGGCATGACTTGCCTAAAATGACTTTGGTCAGGCCTATGATTTTGTCTAATAAACTCATTAAACGTACAGTATGCGATTTTTGGCCACCAGGGGTCACTCGTTTAAAATAATAACAAAAGACGTACTATGATGACGTCGGGAAAGAGCGTGGGCTCACGGGAGTTGTTGTCGCTGTCAATGACAACCAGCTCAGCTCATGGCATGACATCATCGTTTCACAAAATATACGGCATCTCTCTGTAGATTTAGCTTGTCAAGAAGCTTTAAATGCAACCCCAATGTTTACCTGTGTCACGCTTCTCCTGTCCCAAACCCTTCTCCGGTCATACCCGTACGTTTGAGCTTTAGCTAATGAGCTGGCTGTAGCAGCAGAACGTGCAGGCAAAGCGTAATCGTGGTCCATAACTATAATACAGACGAATATAAATATTTATATTACGCTCCTTCAATGAATGACCTATTTTAGAACATGTTTCATATATAGGGCGCACCGGATTATAAAGCACATAAGATACTGCAGTCAAACGTTTGACTGGGTTTGCGTTAGCATCCACTATGTGCTAAAGGCTAAAGGGAATGTAGCGAGTGCGCGGCGCCGGAGGTGAGGCGTTTATTTAGTAAGCATGAGCGCGCTGAAGCGGGCACGTACATTCTCAGCCTGACCCATATGAGTATTCAATGTACGCGGCTCGCTAACAGCAACAGTTGGCTGATTTGAATGAGACGACACGGTTACTGTGAACGGGGAGCGCTTTATGCGCGAGCAGCACCGGGGACAGTGTGTCTGTTAAGAGTGAGCGCTCGTGAGCGGGCACGTGATTTACACACATAAAAATTAGGGATGCAACGATACCGTTTTTTCAAATCCGATCCGATACCAAAATTCTGAGTATCGGCCGATACCGATACCAATCCGATATTTTTATTTTATTTTTAAACTAATAAGAAATTTAGCAATTTCCTCAATTAGCCCCTTGAAAATATACCTCCAGTATATAGTCCACAACAACAGTTGATTATGAAAGACTGCCACCCTAAGTGCCATTTGAAATTTTCTTCTAAAATGATAATTTTTATCAAGCTTGAATATTTAAGTTCAGTAATTTCACTTAAAATGCAATGAAGATTACCTATTAATTGTCATTTAAGTGAAATTACTGAACTGAAATATACAAGCTTGATAAAAATGACCATTCTAGAAGAAAATTTCAAATGACATTTAGAGGCTTTTGCATCTGAACTCTTCATATATATATATATATATATATATATATATATAAAAGAAAATACAGGTACTTCAGTACTGCTATGCATGCTGTGCGTCGAGTCCGCTTTGAAAAGTTCAAAGCACAAAGGAAATACATATTGATGGACAGTGTATTAAACAGTATCTATCTATACAGTAGTTTATTGTACCTTTTCTTTAAACAGTTTTACATTTCAGTTATTGTGCGCGTGAAGAACAATAGTGCCGAGTGACTCTAGTGTTGTGATCTAACCGACAGCGTCCGACACCTGGTAGTAACACGATTAAGTTAACGTTACAGCAATAAAGTCCAGCAAGATAATGTTGTTTTATGCGAAAACATAGACCTTTATCTACAGATAAAGTATAATAGTATAAACATTGAATCATCTTGAAGATCGTTTCATCATTGACTGTAACCGAACGCGACGCGCTGTTTGAGTGCTGAATGGAGAATGACTGACAGCCGCGAGAGGGAAAAGTTTATGTGATCTTGAATTTAATGACTTAAATATTAATTTCTTACACACATAATGGCTTCAGAACACTTATAATAGAGTGCACGAAAACGTTATGGTACTTTAGAATGTGTTTGTGCCTTCTGTGGGGCTTAACAATAACATAATAGTATACGCACAATATCGGATTTGGATCGGCCTCATCTGATCGATACCCGATCCCACAAAAATGGCTGGATCGGAGCCGATACCGATCCTGAGTATCGGATCGGGACATCCCTAATAAAAATACGTACTACTTTTTCTTCGTCATTTTCTTTGCTTTATTTGTGGTAGTCCAGTGTTCCCCTTTGTGTTTGGCGGTTTCGCCGGGTTCCGCAAGGA